GCGGAGACACCGGCCCCTGCACAGGGCCGCCGCTTGAGCAGACAATCCCCGTCTGTGACGGCGCTGCTTGTGTGACGACGACCACCCCAGCCCTGCTTAGGGCCCCCCTGCGGCGGCGACGGGCCGCGGGGGACAAACGTGCACTCCTGCCCTGTGCCCCCCATTATCCGGGCTGTCCTCTCGATAGAATCCGTTCCACATTCTGCGGAATTCGCTCCACGTGTGCTTCTCCTTCTCCAGTCCCGTGCTCGGGCTCCACGGGGATCCCACGGAACCCCCAGGAGTCTTGAAGAATTCCCACTGCTAGGGCCTCTCCACCACTACGGCCTCCACTACTTGGGGCCTCTCCTTTTTTATGTCCTCCACTATTTCGGCCCTTTCCCCCACTACGTCCTCCACTCCCGGGGCCCTCACGAAGGAAGTCTCTCCATAATTGGACCCACACTCATGGGGCGTCTCCACCACAACCCTCTACGAATTGGGGCCTCTCAAGTACCACGGCCGCGGCTACGAAAAACTAAACACCCCCACGTGGCACCTAGAACACGTTCATCTGGCACCTGGAATCCGTCCGTCTTTGGACCAAGTGGCCTCGACGAAGCGCGGCCCTGAGCCGATGAGGACATGCCGTCCCCATAAGGAAACATCGACGACAGCAGGCAAATAGTATTGCTTCCGTAATTAGGTGAACCGCATATGGCAGTACAAGGGCCATACGGATCATCTTGAAATTGTAGACAGGGTCATGTTGGAATCGAATTGAAATCAAAACTGGGTCCTGGGGTCATCTCGGGGTAAACACAAGGTCGACTCGCTCGGCGTCACGTGGCGTTGCTGGCTCCATGTTAGGGTCATGGACCCGTATTGTGGTCATGTGGGGGTTCGCGTGGCCACCTTGGGATCCTCGTGAAGCCACGGGTTCGCTCGGGAATCTCAGCTGAGCCGCGAAATGGCGTTGGGATCATTTTGAGGTCCTGTTGGGGTCTTCTTGGGACCATCGTGGGGTCAAAGTGGATCTCACGCTTTTGTGGTGGAGTCCTCCTGGTGTCGCGATTGGGCCCTGGGGCCATCCCAGGACCACGGTGTCACCTGAAGGTCGTCTGGGTAACGCATTACGGTCGCTGGCCGCGACGAACCGTTCTGCTCAGTCTCCTACGTTGCGGGCTGCGGCCTGCCAAGCAGCGTAATCACCGCCTGGCGGCGCGAGGTCGGCGATCTTACCCTGGTGGCGTAATCTATTTCGGGGGCGGTTGCAGGGCGCATGGCGCCTGTGGCTACTGCCAAAACGGTTGAGTGGCTAAAGGGAGGTCTATCAACCTCCGACTCCCTCTTGGGTATACACGTTGAGTGGCACGTGAGCCGCGGAGAACGAACAACTCCAAAATGACTGGTCTTGTTTAGTCTGTTTAGTCTTGCGCACCCTCCAGGCGCCCCGGCGCTCTCGCCCTCGGCTGCCCTCCCTGTCAAAAAACGAATCTCACGCTCGAGCTTTTCGGGCCTGCGCCCGAACCAGCCCCCCAACAACAGCGACACTCCTGCTCGATAGCTCCTGACTTTCACTCAGGACCAGGGCTCCTGCTGGCCGTCAAAAGCCGGCCATCCAACAGAACTGGCGCTCCCGCTCGAGAGAGCTCCTCGCTGGTTTTAGCCTCGGCAGTGGCGTTGGCCCTGGGTATGCGAGCCGCCCCCCTCCAGCGACGACGATCCCGTTGGACAGTTCCCCACTTGGTGCTCAAGACCGCGCCCTCAGCTCGATACCCTCTCGCGCTTCACTCGGGAATGGCGCTCGCGCCTTGCCTCCCCCAAACCGGCCCCCCCGCCAACAGCGACGCTTCCGCTCGGCACGTCCTCACTTTTCACGCAAGGGTGGAGCCCTCGCTCCGGACACGCGTGCGGAAGGCTCCCGGGCGGCCCCGGGAGGACTGCGAGCAGACTCCTGCAAGGGCGCCACGAGGGCCCCGAAGAGGCGCCAGACAACTCCCAAGAGCGCTACAAGAGGCCTCTGAACGGCCCAAGAGAAACCCAAAACAGCCCAAGATGGCGTCGGGCGCCAAACCCACACAGGGGAAGCCCAAAAGATCTGAACTGAAGAAGGTAAAGTGCGGACTGAGGGTTGGCCAAACGTTTTGGGGCGGGAGATCTGGACAAGGGACTGCCGGTGCCCAGTGGGAGCTATCATGACGAAAACATGCTGCATAGAAACAAATTGAGCGTTCTGGCATAATGATTGTTGTTGTGTCCCTCCTTGCTGTTCTTGAGCTCCACTTCGAATAGAAACTTACGTACTGCCGATCCCCCCTCCGCTGGCACCCGTGCTGTTCTTCAACTGAAATGCCCCCGTCGACTCACGCACCCTGTGATCTGGTCAGGGGAAAGCTTCAGGGTCAAACTACAGTCGGAACTAGGCCAGAATCATATCCCTGAAGACCATGAGAACAAGTGCACCCTCCCCAGGATGCACAAGAAGATGCAACAAACGCGAAGAACACTAGGGTACCCTCCCAGAACCGACCTCAACCTTGTACTTCGGCTAAGCTATGTGTTGTCGGGCCCCAAAGCCACCACAACAAGGCACAATCTGGGACTGGACCCCGCGCCCCTCGGTTCCTCTCGCGGCGTCCTCCCTCTCTCGCACTCTGGACCTGTCCCCCCCCCCCGTGTGGAACCCCCCCGCCCCGGAGTGGCGCAACCACAACGGGGCCTGCAGGGGGGCAGCAGAAGCGCAGCCAGGATGGGGTCACGAGCGCAGGGACGCAGCAACTACGATGAGGTCAAAAGCTCAGGGACGCACCGGGGACGCAGTCATGGCAGCCGAAGCGCAACCAGGATGGGGTCAAGAGCCCAGAAGCACAACAAGGATGGAGTCAAGGAAACTAGGACGCTTCATGGGCGCAGTCAGGGCAGCAAAACGCAGAAGAGTGAACTCTGAGTTCCATCGTCCTCACCCGCATTATCATCATAATCCTCCTCCTCCTCCTCATCATCATCAACATCTCCATCATCAAATTCATCAGCATCAGCATCATCATATTCATCATCATCATCATCAGCAGCATCAGCATCATCATCATCAGCAACATCACCATCACCATCAGCATATGCATCAACAGCAGCATCACCCTCATGATAATCATCATCAGCATCATCAGCATCAGCATCCTCATCGTCAGCAGCATCATCATCGGCAACATCATCGGAATCCTCACCAGCAGCATCACCATCATCAACGGCATCATCCTCATCATCACCAGCATCATCACCATCAGCAACATCAGCATCAGCATCACCATCATCAGCAGCATCATCATCTTCACCCGCATCCTACTCATCATCATCATCATCAGCATCATCATCATCAGCATCATCATCATCAGCATCATCATCATCATCATAAGCATCAGCATCATCATCAGCATCATCGTCATCATCATCAGTATCGTCGTCATCGTTATCATAGTCCTCAGCATCATCGGTATCACCAGCAGCAGCATCATCGCCATCGGCAGCTGCAGAATCATCAATGTCATCATCATCATCATCATCAGCATCATCGTCGCCGTCGTCGCCAGCAGCAGCAATAGCACGACCACAATCATCACCATCAACATCATCAGCATCATCAGCATCATCAACAGAATCAGCAATACCATCATCGTCATCAGCAACACCAGCACTCTCATCATCAGCATAAGCATCGTCCCCAATCTTCAACCTTACAATCACAATCACTATCAGCATCATCATCAACAACATCAGCATCGAAATCATGATCAACATCAGCATCATCAACATCAGCATCGCCAACCTCACGATATCATCATCACCGCCACCCCCATCATCAGCATCATCATCGGCACCATCATCATTATCATCAGCAGCAGCAGCTGCATCGTCAGCATCATCATCAATATCATCATCATCATCATTATCATCATCATAATCATCATCATCATCATCATCATCATCATCGGCATAATAGTCATCATCATTGGCAGCGGCAACCGCATCATCACCCTCATCATCAACATCCATATCCTCTACCTGATCGCCATCACCATCCTCCTCAGCAGTAGCAGCATCACGATCATCATCGGCGCCATCATCATCAGCAGCCTCATCGACATCAGCAGCATTGTCGTCGTCGTCATCGTCATCCTCAGCATCATAATCCACATCAATATGATCAGCACAATGACCCTCATCATCAGCAGCATCATTCCAATTATCATCGCCACCATCACCACCAGCACCATCATTACCATCATCATCCTCATCAGCAGCATCATCAACATCATCATAAACATAAACATCATCATCATCGATATCACAATGAGCATCATCACCAGCAGCATGCCTATCAGCATCAGCAGCATCATCAGCTGCATCATCACCATCATCGCATCATCATTATCATCATCACCCTCTCCTCCCCCCTCCTCCTCCTCCTCCTCGTCATCATCATCAGCAGCAGCATCATCACCACCATCAGCATCAGCATCAGCATCAGCATCAGCATCAACATCATCATCATCGTCATCATCATCATCGTCGTCATCATCATCATCAGCAACATCATGATCATCATCATCCTCATCATCATCATCATCCGCATCATCACCAGCATCATCATCAGTATCATCATCGTCGTCATAATCATCAGCATCAACTCATTCTCATCCTCACCCAAAGCCTCATCCTCCCCCTCCCCCCCTCCTCCCCCTCCCCCCCTCCTCCTTCTCGTCCTCCTTCTCGTCCGTACCGAACGGTACAGCGGGGGGGGGGAGGAAGCGGCGGGGGAAGTGCTCGTTGGTTGGCGCAGTGGAGGAAAATGGGGGAACTTGACCCTGGTTCTTTCAACAAGGGCTCCCAACTTCGCGCTTCGCGCTGCGCGAAGCACGAAGTACGAATAACTTCGCGCTCTCGCGCCGCCTCCCAGGGGAGAAGAGGAGGATGAGAAGGAATCGGAGCCGAACGGCGAAGCGCGAATAACTTCGCGCCCTCGAAAACAATCATTCTGCCAGAGTGTTCAGTGATCCCATGTGTCCATCATCCTAGCAACGGCCTGCACGGAGAAATACATTTCATCGACCACCGTTTCGCCGATGGCACGCGAGCGCAAGTCTGGGTCCTTGCACAACATGGGGCGGGGCGCGCTAAAATTCAAGGAGCGGGGCGCAGAGCGCCCTGGGATCTGAGCAGTGCCCCAGCGCTCCAGCACGATACTGGACAGCCGGCCTGCAATTACAAACCCCGCGCTTTGGGCGAGCGGACACACATCGCCCACCCCCCGCTCGGGGGCGGCAAAGAGGGGGGTGTCCAAGAGGGGGGGCTGCAAATCATGACCGGCGGCATGTGTGCGGCCCAGCGGGGGGGCCAGGGACGTAATGAAATAAGAAGCGGCGCCATGAAATCTGGGGAAATATCATGGCCCCCGCCATGATATCCACCCCACCCTAGTCATCACCCCCCTCTTGTCCGTCCCCGACCCGCGGTGAGCGCCGCTGGGGGCGGGGAGGCCGTGCGGCTCAGGGGCCCGAGCCCCGCAGCTCGGGAGCCCTCGAGGCAGAGCAGCCCGCACGAGCAGAGGCCTCCGGAGAGCTCCGCGCGGACGCCTCGGCTCGGCGCCGCGCCCCCGCCTCCCCCGCGCGCGGGGCGCGCCAGGGCGTGGCGCTCCGCGGGCGCCGCCGGGGAACCCGCGCCGCTCCCCGAAGGCCTCCGAGAGTTGCTGGCTGCTGCCGCTGCCTCCTCCCCTGAGATCCGCGCGGCGGCCCCGAGCCCCCGCAGCCCTGGGCCCAGACGTCCCGCGGTGTGGCATCTGCTCGGCGCGCGGCTTCCTGAGCTCATGGCTCCCCTTCCCTCGTGGGGGGGGGCTCCGTCCCGGATCAACGCGTGATGGATATAGCGAGCCCGAGAAGCCGAAATGTCGAGGAAAACCGCCAGGGATGGAACAGTTGTACGCTCGCTCGGGATGCCTGCCTCGAGCCACTCGCTCCACGCACGCGTCGATGCTGCGCCGCACGCCCGTCGACCTGAGTCGAACTGGAGTCGAGCTTGAGTCAAGCTTGCTAAGAGCCAGGGTCGAAATGGACTCGACCTTGAGTCGAACAGATCCACGCCCCAGGAAGGCCCCCACAACGAACATGGCAAAAGGCTTCGGGCTGCGCGCAGACGGCACCCCCGGGTAGTGCCGGCTGGCCTCAGCAGGCCCCCAGGGTAGCCCAGCAGTCTGAACTTACCAGCCTCGAACGTATCCCTATCCCTAAGATTGACACGCCAGAAGGCAATGACAATCTTAGGGATTCGCCCTCAAAAAATAAGGAAATCCCTAAGATTGACATCGTGATGAGGAGGTACCCAGCATAGGGATAGGAGCACCCCATGGAGCGCCGCTGAAGGCGGCGCCAGGCGTAGACCCCGCCCTGGACTTCTCTCGGGGGGCCCGGGGAGGCCCACTGGGCCTACTCGGGCGAGCCTGTCGAGGCCAGCCGGGGCAGTCTGGGGGTGCTGCCTGTGCGCAACCCCGAGGGGCAACGATCAGGGGTGACCAGCTCACGGGGGACGCATCGCCATGGGATCGGAGATACGGCGCCGATAGATCGGCGATGGGCCCCCTTTAGCGAATCCACACGGTCCTGAGCGGGTTCGGCTAGCGGGCCCCTACCGGCGATGAATGGCCGATTACGGAGCGATGCGTCCCCCCTGAACCTACCCCCCCTATCGTTCAGGACGATCCGGGCACCCCTGGAACGCCGGGACGCTCTCGGCGAGACGCAGTCGCTGGAAGGCATCCCGAAGCCGCAGAGCCAACGAGAACCGACGACAACGTCCAAAAACCTCTGGCCTCGAACCCCCCTGGGCCCGTCGCTCTGAGCCTACCGCCCCCCGCCCCTATCCTTGCCCCTGAAACCCGAAGCCCTACCCAACGATCATCCAGACAAATCGCGCTGTCGTAGACGTGGCTTTCGGGGATCTTCTGGCCCAGGTCAGTCCGACCGGACCCGGGTCGGTCAGGCCTTGCATGATGCTGCAAGGCCCTGCAGCATCCTGGCACCCCAAAACCGGGCCAGTGCACCCCTGGCCCTGCAGGATGCAAGCTCTGGCGCTCTGACTGGCTCCCGTTTGTACTGACCCCAATCTCCTGAGACCCGAGGCGTTTCCTCTAGGTCGTGTTCCGCACGAGGAGGAGGAGGAGGAGGAGGAGGAGGAGGAGAAAACAGAAGAAGAAACAACGGCATAAACAGAAACCTCTCGCGCTCCGCGCGGATGTCTTGGACCTGCGCTGACCCCCCCTCCCCGGCGCGGGGAGCGCGCCAGGTGGCGGCGCCAGAGGCGCCGCCGCGGGGGCCCAGCGCGGACCCAAGCACTCCGCGCGGAGCTCTGCTTCCCCTGAAGGGGTGGGGCTCGCACATGTGCTTGCCCGCTCTGGAGAAAACCAGCTGCACAGCTCCTCTTTCTCCTCCTTCTCCTCCTCTTCCTCCTCCTCCTCTTCCTCCTCCTCCTCCTGCTCTTCCTCCTCCTCCTCCTCCTCCTCTATTCCTCCTCCGCCTCCTCCTCCTCCTCTTCCTCCTCCTCCTCCTCCTCCTCCTCCTCTATTCCTCCTCCTCCTCCTCCTCCTCATCATCATCATCATCCTCCTCCTCTTCCTTCTCTTCTTCTTCTTCCTCCTCCTCCTCCTCCGCCTCCTCCTCCTCCTCCTCCTCCCCTGCAGGGGCTTTGGGAGCATCAGACAACCATTGTTCGTGGCGCTGCTCCTTCTTCGAGGCGCGTGCGGTGATGCCCGCGCCGCGGCGCGGGGCCCCGCGGCGGAGGGGGCGCGCCGCGGGCCCCGGCGACCGCGCCACGGCAAAAAGGTAAAACGCGCGGGGGGGATCGGCGGCGAGCGAGGGGGGAGAAGGCCTTCTCGGAAGGGGCCCCGGGACACACAAATAAATACACACAAATAAACATATTCCCCGTAGTTTCCCATCTTTTCTGGGTTTTTGTCTTCCCCCCACTTCCCATATGTTCCCATATTTTCTGGGGAATCGACGATTAATTGTGTCTGTGTTTTCCCTACTGATTCTCGAAAGGCGGCGGGACTTCTCCGAAGCCCTCACGCCCTCTGAGGAGCTCTTCGTGCCCTCGGGGAAGGCCTAGACATTGTCTGAAGGCCGAGGGACTTCCGAGCCTTCTGAGCAGGGAGGTCCTTTTGAAGAGGATTTGCATTGGAATCCTTCTGAAGAGGATTTCAAGAGGAATCCTTTTGAAGAGGACTTCAATAGAAATCCTCTTGAGAAGGAGGATCTCAATAGGAATCCTTTTGACGAGGATGTTCCCCCCTCGCTCGCCGCCGAGGCGGGGGGAGGCGAAAAGGCCTCGCTCGCAGCCGAGGCGGGGGGAGGCGAAAACGCCCTCAGGGCGCCAGACGGCCGCTCGTCGCGGCAGAGCGCCGGCGGAGGATACAGGGGGGGGGGGCAGGGCGAACAATAGGCAATCCCCCCGGACCCCCTCCTCCTCCTCCTCCGCCTCTCCGCATCACCAATCTCCTCCTCCTCCTATCCTCCTCCTCCTCCTCCTCCTCCTCCTCCTCCTCCTCCTTCTCCGCTCCACCTCACCTTCGCCTCCACCTTCCTTACCTCCCTCCTCCTCCTCCTCCTCCTCCTCTCTCATCATCATCATCATCATCATCATCCTATCATCATCATCATCATCATCATCATCGTCATCATCATCAATCATCTCATCATCAATCATCATCAATCATCATCATCATCATCATCATCATCACATCATTCATATCATTATCATCTCATCATCATCCACATCTCATCATCATCATCATCATCATCATCATCATCATCATCATCATCATCATCATCATCATCATCATCATCATCATCATCATCATCATCATCATCATCATCATCATCATCATCATCATCATCATCATCATCATCATCAGCATCATCATCATCATCATCATCATCATCATCATCATCATCATCATCAATCATCATCATCATCATCATCATCATCATCATCATCATCATCATCATCATCATCATCATCATCATCATCATCATCATCATCATCATCATCATCATCATCATCATTCAGCACATCATCACATCAGCAGCATCATCATCAGCATCACATCATCATCAGCATCATCATCATCATCATCATCATCATCATCATCATCATCATCATCATCATCATCATCATCATCATCATCATCATCATCATCATCGGCATCATCATCATCGTCATCGTCATTATCATCATCAGCATAAGCATCATCAGCAGCGATATCAGAATTAGCATCATCACCAACAGCATGCCTATCAGCATCAGCAGCATCATCAGCAGCATCATCATCACCCTCTCCTCCCCCCTCCTCCTCCTCCTCCTCATCATCATCATCAGCAGCAGCATCATCACCATCATCATCATCATCATCATCATCATCATCATCAGATTCATCAGCATCATTATCATCAGCATCATCATCACCACCACCACCACCATCATCATAATCATCCTCATCATCATCATCATCATCATCCGCAACCATCATCATCATCATCATCAGTATCATCATCATCATCATCATCATCATCATCATCATCATCATCATCATCATCATCATCATCATCATCATCATCATCATCATCGTCGTCGTCGTCATCATCATCATCAGCATCAGCTCATCCTCATCCTCATCCAAAGCCTCATCCTCCTCCCCCCCCCCCCTCCTCCTCCTCCTCCTCCTCCTCCGCCTCCTCCTCCTCCTCCTCCTCCTCCTCCTCATCCTCATCCTCCCCTCCTGCTCCTCCTCCTCCTCCGCCTCCTCCTCCCAAGTACGGCGGGAGGTGTTGGACAAGCTGTTCGGCCTCTGGGGGAACCCTCGCCAGGCTCCAGGACAGACAAGCACCCCGGAGGTACGACGAGCGGCGCTGGACAAGCCGTTCGGCCTCCGGGGAGCCCCCGCCAGGCCTGCAGGACAGGCAACCAACCGGGGCCCCCTCGCGTCGTGGAAGAGGTGTGGACAGGCTGCTCGGCCTCTGGGGGGGCCCTCGCCAGGCTCCAGGACAGACAATCACCCCAGACCCCCCCTCGGGTCGTGAAACAAGCACGACGTGAGGTGTTGGACATCTGTTCGGCCTCTGGGGGGGCCATCGCCAGGCCCCAGGACAGACAATCACCCCAGACCCCCCCTCGCGTCGTGAAACAAGCACGACGTGAGGTGTTGCACATCTGTTCGGCCTCTGGGGGGGCCCTCGCCAGGCCCCAGGACAGACAATCACCCCAGACCCCCCCTCGCGTCGTGAAACAAGCACGACGTGAGGTGTTGGACATCTGCTCCGCCTCTGGGGGGCCCCTCGCCAGGCCCCAGGACAGACAATCACCCCAGACCCCCCCTCGCGTCGTGAAACAAGCACGACGTGAGGTGCTGGACCATCTGATCGGCCTCTGGGGGGGCCCTCGCCAGGCCCCAGGACAGACAATCACCCCAGACCCCCCCCCGCGTCGTGAGACAAGCACGACGTGAGGTTCTGGACCATCTGCTCGGCCTCTGGGGGGGGCCCTCGCCAGGCCCCAGGACACGGCTAGAAAGTCTTAGAAAGTCCAGGCTTCGCCAGGGACTGGCTTCCTTCCAAAACCGCCGAAACACTTTCGAAAAAAGCTCCAAGAACCCTTCTAGAAGGGTTCTGGGAGGCCCGTTCGGAGGGTTCCGGGAGGGTTTTGGCAGGCGTTTCGTCGCTTGGGGGGGAACCAATCCCTAGCGGACCAAGGCTTTCTAACCATCGTCGCCACTCCTGGACGCGGCTGAAAAAGTCCCCGTAAACCGAAACTCTCAGAGTCGGCGGTGGACACACCTCCCTTTAGTAGACCTCCCCTTAGTGAAAACGGCCTGGGACCGAAACCGACGGACCTGGACCCGCAAAAAGGACGGTCGCGACACCCTCTCGCGTGTCAGGGTAGAAGGCCTGTCCACCCCCGACAGAGCTCCGCGCGGTCTTCCCGCATCGGCGCTGGGCTCCCCCCCCCGGCGGTGCCTCCAGCGGCGCCCCCGGCGCACCGCGGGATGCCTACCAAACCACCCCGACCCAACCCGAAGAGCCGATTTCGCACGAATTTTTCGGGTTGGGGGCGGTCCAGGCTCCACACAAGTTTTGTCAGTGTTCCTTTTAAGTCGGGCGTGTCCCCCTACAGGGGGGCTTTGGGCGAAACATGAAAAATAGATTCAAAAAATCCCCCCCCAAATGGGCAAAAGTAGTCAACAAATCGTCCCCGTATTATATTTGTTTTACTATTTTTTGAATACTCCTCCTGTAGAGGGACAGGCCCGACTTAAATGTTCCCCGACCCCCCCCCCACCCCCCTGAAAATGGGGAACACATCGGGGCCTTTGGGCTGGGTTTGAGTCGGGCGTGTCCCCCTACAAGGGGATTTTCGACGAAAAAGGAAAAAATCAAACAAAAAGTCCAAAAATAGTATGGGGACTAGTTCTTTAGTCTTTTGTGACCTTTTTGGCGTATTTTTGGAGTATTTATTATTTTCGTCGAAAATCCCCCTGGGGTGGGCGGCGAGCTGCGCACGCCGAGGGAGGGGGGGGGGCCATCGCACGCCGCCCGAGGCCTCCGCGCGGAGCTCCGAGAGCGTGCGTGCACGCGCTGCGTGTGCTGCAGCGGAGGACAGCAGGTCCACCCCGTGATACAGGCCTCGGAACAAATTAGCGAACACATGCCACATTCATCCGTCAACGCCTCCCCCTTCCCCCAATGTTCAAAGTTGGCGGTGGGTCTGATGAGATGCACTTCGACCGCAGTCGCCCCCGCGCGTGCCAACATTGAGTTTGGGGGGGAGGGGGAGTGTTCAGTAATTGTTTCCCTCTTCCGTATCGAGAGCGGCCAAGAGTAGGGGAACAAAACGTGGCATAAACATCAAAACTCGGAGGTCCGCGCGGAGTTCTCGGATCGGCGCTGGAACCCCCTCCCTGGCGCGCGGAGCGCGCCAAGGGCGGCGCCGAAGGCGCCGCCGGGGGGCCCCAGCGCCGATCCGAGAAGTCCGCGCAGACCTCCGAGTTGTTATGTTGATGTCACTTCTTGTTCCCCGAAAGAGGGGGGTGTCCAAGAGGGGGTGGTGCAAATCATGGCCGGCGGCACGTGCGCGGCCCAGCGGGGGGGCCAGGGACGTCCTGAGACAAGAAGAGGCGCCATGAAGCCTGGGGAAACATCATGGCCCACGCCATTATACCCACCACCACCCTGGTCATCACCCCCCTCTTTCCCGCCCCCGGTAATAACCACCCCGACACTTATGTTGCTCCCATCATACTTACGGACCACATCCCAGAAATGATTTCGAGCAAAGGAAGAGTGTCGAAAGAGTGTCGGGCGAGTGTCTCCCAGGGCCCGACACGTGAAAACCTTCGAATTTCGGTACTTGTTGGGCGCTCGAAATTCTTCCTGGTGGTCAAGGCTAAAATAGGTTGGAACATTGGACCATCATAACCCGACACGCGAAGCCGTTTACTAAACGCCCCCACTGAAGGAATCGAACAGGGCAGGGCTGTTTAGTAAACGCCCAAGGCCGTTTAGTAAACGCCAATTGTCCGGTCCGGGTGTTTTTTCCTCCCTTGATGATCTAGGGAGCCCACAAGAGACGTACGCGCCCAGCTATGTACATGAACACGGCCCCTCGACACGCGAGACCTGCGGTGTGATACGAACACTCGCGCAGTGTGCGGACTCTCGAAGCCGGCGCGGAGTCGTGTACGTCTACGTCCCTCTCTCGCTCCTGGTGGATGAGGAGGAGGAGGAGGAGGAGGAGGAGGAGGAATAGAGGAGGAGGAGGAGGAGGAGGAGGAGGAGGAGGAGGAGGAGGAGGAGGAAGAGGAGGAAGAGGAGCTGTGCAGCTGGTTTTCTCCAGAGCGGGCAATCACATATGAGAACCACACCCCGCGACGAGCACAAACGGGCCAGGATCGAGGGGGGAGGCCCTCGGACCGAGGGATCAGCACGAGGAAAAGGACGCCCTCCTGGTTCCCCCAAGACTATGCTGCTCCAACCGTGCTTAAGGATTACATCGGAAGAGAACACAACATACGATAAACTGCTTGCGCTCCGCGCGGATTTCTTGGATCTGCGCTGGACCCCCCTCCCTGGCGCGCGGGGCGCGCCAGGGGCGGCGCTGGAGGCGCCGCTGGGGGGGGGCAGCGCGGATCCAAGAGATCCTCGCGGAGCGCCAGAAGTTTATGTTTGTGCCTTTGTTTCCTTCTACGACACATCCCGAAAGCCATCTCTCGCACCCAGTGATGGGCCTGTTTTCCACCACCACCACCACCACCACCATAAGTTGGAGGGGAGAAGGAGGTGGAGGACAAGGAGGAGGAGGAGGAGGAGGAGGAGGAGGAGGGGGAGGAGGAGGAGGAGGAGGAGGAGGAGGAGGAGGAGGAGGAAGGGGAGGGGGAGGGGGAGGAGGAGGAGGACCCGCTCCCCCTCCAACTTATGGTGGTGATGGTGGTGGAAACCAGGCCCAGCACCCAGAACGCCAGCGAGATGGTCGCAGAATGTCGCACGCGAGCACCGCCTGCCCTGGGCCCGGCTCGCGAAGACTGTCCCAGAGGCGTCGCCCTGCAGCTCCCCCCAGCCCGAAATTGCTTGTGCCAGCCAAGACTAACGTAGTGAAGGGGCCCTGGGACACACAAATAGATACACACAAATCGAACGATTACCTGTATTTTCCTATAGTTTCTGGATTTTGTCTTCCCCCCATTTCCCATAGTTTCCCATATTTTCCGGGGAGTCGACGATTCATTGTGTCTGCGTGTTTCTTTCCCTCCGGAAGTAGGTTGGAGCATCACAGGACTGGACCTAGGCGTTGTTGTTTGTCTTGTTGCCATTTTGTTGCTCGCTTTGCTCTACCTGTTCTCCTGTACCTACCCCCCAAAACGAAAAACGAAACACAGCCGAAGTCCATCAAAACAGCGTTTCGGTCCAGCCCTGGGCCGGGGCCCTCGGAGCCCCCCCACCAAAAAAAACGCGACAAGAATGCAGGGACGCTCCCTGCCAGGAGCCCTCTCCTCCACGGCGGAGTGTGTGGCGATCTCCCTGCAAATGCAGGGAGCTCACTAATGACTGGCTCCAGTCGTGCCCACGTGGGAACTGGGTGGCCGGCGGCGAACCCAGGGGACGACGTTGGAGGGGCAAGCCTTCTCAGAAGGCGGCGGGGCTTCTCAGAAGCCCTACGGCCGTCTGTGGAGCCGTCTCTGCCTTGGGAGAAGGCTTAGAAAGCTTCTCAGAATGCGCGAGGGCTTCTGAAACGCCCCGCTCACTTGAGGAAAGCTCCAAACAATGCACCACCACCAACCCTGGCCAGGCCTATCGTGGGCGCTGGACTGGTGTCCAGGCCGTCCCAGCACAGGCCAGGAGGCCTGCTCACAGGTCCAGGGCCCAGGAGGTGCCTGGCCAGGGCTGGTGGTGGTGTATAGTTGGCGCCCCTCCGACATGTTCCCCCCCTGAGCACGCCGACGAGTTTCGTCGCCCAGTCTTGAGCCAACCACTGTCCGAGGAGGAAGAGGAGGAGGAGGAGGAGGAGGAGGAGGAGGAGGAGGAGGAGGAGGAGAAGAAGGAAGAGGAATAGGAGGCGGAGGCGGAGGAGGCGGAGGCGGAGGCAGGAAGGAGGAGGAGGAGGAGAGGGGGAAGGAGAGGAGGAAGAGGAAGAAGAATAGAGGAAGAGGAGGCGGAGGAGGCGGAGGCGGAGGCGGAGGCGGAGGCGGGGGCGGAGGCGGAGGCGGAGGCGAAGGAGGAGGAGGGGCAGGAGGAGGAGGAGGCGAAGGAGGGGAGGGGGAGGAGGAGAAGGAGGGGGAGGGGGATAAGGAGGAGGAGGAGGAGGAGGAGGAGGAGGAGGAGGAGGAGGAGGGGGAGGGGGAGGGGGAGGAGGAGGAGGAGCACGCCGCTGTAGCGCCAGCCGGCCTTGACCGCCCGCGCGGCGGCCGCCGGCGCGCCCGCGGCGGGTCCATGCGCACCTCACCCTCCAGGAAGGGGAAGCTCCCAGAATTAAGTCGGGCGTGTCCCTCTACAGGGGGATTCTGGGCGACAAAAAAAAACAAAAACTAGAAAAGTACACCACAAATGCTCAAACATAGTCGAGAAATCGTCCCGCGGCTATGGTTTTGCTGCTTTTGAATAAATATGCCCCCTGTAGAGGGACAGACCCGACTTAATCCTAGAAGGCTGATAAGACGACGAAGACAGGACGAGGAGAAGATCCAGTGAGAATTAATCGGGGATCTCTGGGATCCGGCGGCTCTGGAGCACGTCTCGGGCGCCGCGGCCTTTTCGGAGCGTTCTGGAGCAGATCTGCCCTCGTCCTGGCCCCGTCCGGGTTGAGCACCCCTGCTGCGGAGTGGTTGATCAACACGACGGCCAGATCTGGCATTCCGACGCGCACCGACGTGCTCGTGTCTGACATCTCGCCCGAGGGGAACAGTCTGCTCTCCCCTGGGCGGCCAGTCCAGCCTCGGCAGCGCACGCCATGCTGCAGACCCCGCTCTCCAGGTTACACCGTGAAGAGAACCAGCGACGTAGCCATGACTACCATGCCCATCACCATCGAGTTCGTGACGTACCTGTCCGCCGGGTCGTACCGCAACGCCGTGGGCATGAGCTCCAGGAGCACGATCATGATCATCATACCTGCGACTATGCCGAAGAGGACCCCGTAGACAGTCTGGCTCATGTCCTCCCCCGAGGCCTTGATGATGAGATAACCGATGAGCGCCCCGACCGGCTCTGACAGCCCTGACAGGAGCGCCCAAAAGAAGCCCTTGTGTCTGCTGCCGGAGGCGTAGTCCGCCGAGCCCTGCTTGTCAGGGATGTCAAGACGAGCGGCTGCACCGCCGAGTTCCGCTGTCGATGCAGTTCCTTCTTCTGTGTGGGGAGGTACTCGCCGCACTCCGCTTCGACACGACTTCCCCATTCGATGGCGTGATACTTGAATGTTCGTCCCCTCCCCCCGCTCTTCCTCCCTATGTGTTCAAGCTCTCGCGGCGGAGGTGCTTCCTCTTTTGGCCGCGATTCCCCACTCGTCAGAAATATGCACCGTCCACTGGAGGATGCGTGCTCAGCCACGCGCAGAGGGGGGTGGGGGAAGGGGGGGGGGCCTGATGGAGGGAAAGGGTTCCTCGGACATCCCCACCGCCACGCCCTCGTCGAGGTGACCCCCCCCGTACATCATCGAGGCCCTCCCCGACCCCCACCCCACTCCGTGCGCCTGCGAGACTGAAGAGACGGACGGGCCCATGCCCTCAGAGCTTGGGGGCGCCCCTGAGGGTCCAAGAGAGGAGGTCGCAGAACATGGCCCGAGGCATGTGCGCGGACGAGGGGGATGCCAGAGGGGGCCGCCCCCCCTAGTATCCCCCTCGCCGTTTTTCAATACGTCCCCCTCTCCTTTTCCCCCACATCCTAAGTGGGTGTTCTTGCTTCCTCTGCACACAGAAACACACCGCAGGAGAGAGAGCAAGATGGAGAGAGAGAAGGAGAAGAACGACCTCCTCCATCTTTATCACCATGACCATCATCATGACTATCATCATGGCCGTCATCATCACTATGACCGTCGAGACCATCCGCCATCATCATCCTCTTCCTTCCCCATCCCCATCATCATCATCATCATCATCATCATCATCATCATCATCATCAGCATCATCATCATCACCACCACCACCATCATCATCATCATCATCGTCGTCGTCGTCATCATCATCAGCATCAGCAGCAGCAGCAGATGCAGCAAGCCGGGTCATCAGCATCATCATCGTCATCATTTCTACAACCACCATCATCATCACCATCATCATCGTCAGCATCATCATCACCGCCACCATCATCATCAGCAGCATCATCGGCATCATCATCATCACCATCATCAGCAGCAACATTAGCATCAGCATCATCATCATCAGCAGCATCAACCTTACAACCACCAGCACAACAACCACCATCAGCAGGAGCATCATCAGCATCATCAGCATCATCACGACCACCCCCATCATCCTCATAATCGTCGTCATCATCATCATCATCATCATCACCACCATCATGATAAACATCGTCATCATCATAATCATCAGTATCATCATCATCATCATCATCATCACCATCACCATCACCATCACCATCACCACCACCATCACCACATCATCATCATCATCATCATCATCATCATAATTAATCATCATCATCATCGTCATCATCATCATCATCATCATCATCATCATCATCATCATCATCATCATCGTCATCATCATCATCATCACCATCGTCATCATCCATCATCACCACCACCAGCACCACCACCATCATCATCCCTCCTTGTTGTTCCTCCCTCGTGCTTCCCCTTCTCCATCCTGAGCACCCCTCATCCTTCCCCCGATGGTGTTTGGTGCTTGGGAGTTGGTGTTTGGGGTGTGGGGTTCGGAATTGGTGTTTGGTGTTTGCGGTTAGGGGTTGGGGGGTTGCTGTACGGGGCAGGTTGTATGGTGCATGGTGTTTGGTGTTTGGGGTTTGTGGTCTGCGGTTTGGGATTTGGTGTTTGGGGTTGGGGAGTCGGGGTTTGGGGTTTGGTGTATCGGATGGTTTGTATGGTGTTTGGTGTTTGGGGTTTGGTGTTTCGGGTTTGGTGCTTGGTATTTTGGGTCTCGTGTTTGGTGGTGTTTGGTGTTTTGAGTGCGTGCGTGGTGTTTGGTGGGGGTGAAGGCTCGAAGCAGGTCATAGCCCAACTCTGCTGGGGTACAGCCCGATAAAAAAGGGACATAGCCCATTTAACCGGGGCATCGAATCCAACCGTTCCCCGGGGCGGGGGGTCCTGCGGGGGGCCCCCGGGGGCGTCAATGGGGGGTCCTGAGGGGGGTCCTGCGGGGTCCCGGGTCCGAATGCCCTCCTCCCCCCAGGGGGGTCCTGAGGTCCAAGCAGAATCCAAAACAGCCCAAGAAGCTCCCAAGATGGTCCGAGGCCCTGAGTCGCCGAACAGTCGGTCAAAGACGCCAAAGATGGCTTCCAAGACGCTCGAAGAGTCCTCCAAGAAAGCACCAAGCGGGCCCCAATAGTCAAAAGTCAATGATTGGCGTTCTCGGCTTGTCGCCTTCCCGAAGCCAAAGACGGCCCAAGATGCTACCAGCATCGGCACAAAAGGCCCCCAAGAGGTTTCCAAGACGTCCCAAAAACGACCCAAGAAGGCTCCCAGAAGGCCCTAGAGGCCTCCCAGACGGCCCAAGAGACCCCCAAAACGACTCCAAGAGGGTGCCCACACAGGAGCCCGAGCGAACATTTCGAGCCCTCGGCCCGAGGAGCTCCCAGAAGCCCTGAAGAAGCCCCCGAGAGGCCGCCACGAGGCCCCAAGAGGCGCCCCAAGAGGCTCCCAGGAAGCCCGAAGGGACCCCCAAGAGGCTCAAGAGGCCCCCCCAAGACGCCCCCAAGTGGCCACCAAACTGCCCCCAGAGGCCTACGAGCGCGCTCCGAAGAGGCCCCACGAAGCATCACTGAGGACTCTGCCCCACGCCAGCGTCGCCGTCGCCGCCGACGCCGCTGTCGTGGACGTCGCCCCCGTTCAGGATCGACGGCACTGGCCGTCAGCCCTTCCCTATAGTGTGCGACAGGGACAGGCCCGGTCACCGCGCGCGCGCGTGGCCCGCATGGTAGCAAGAGGTCCTCACAGCGTGAACGCGACACGTGGCCCTCGTCATTGCCATGCGCCGCTGGTGTGTATGTGCCGTGTGGCGTGCGGTGCGCGTGCTGTGCATCCTGTGCGGGGTGATGGGCGCAGGGCGCACGCTGGGTTGGTAATCCTGGAAGGCTCCAGTGCATTGGCCATGCACTGGCGACGTCAGCGATGCATCCGCGACGTCGGCGTGGAGAAAATTGGGACCCACATCGAGCCGCATCGCAGATGCATCGGCGATGCGGAGCAATACTTCGACCCCACCTACTCGAACCCCGTCTGGGAGGCCTAGATCTGAGCAGGACGGGGCGTCACTGAGCTCTCCAGGGAACCTCCTGGGGTCCGCTTGCGAGCGCCATGGCGCCGTGGGCGCAACCCCGTCGCGCAGGGAACACACACACACACAGTTCGAGGAGGCGCGGCCGCCGAGCAGCCTCTCCCCGCCGCCCCTCTGCACCCCCCCCTATCGCCGCCTCCAACGTCGTATGGAGTCGAAGGGAAGCCCCTTCCCTTTGCTCCCTTCCCCGCTGGGGGGGCGGTGGGCCGGCCAGTCCCAAGAGGGGGGGGTTGAGGAGGGTGCTGATGAAGGGGGGGTCCCTGGTCAGAATACCATCCCCCCGAGGGGCCCCAGAGCCCCCAAAAGGCCCCAAGACGGGCCCTAGAGTGCCATAAGAGGTCCCAAGACGGTTCAAGAGGGCTCCGAATCGCCGAACGATCGGACCAAGACGCCCAAGATAGCCTCCAAACGGCCCAAGAGGCCTCCAGGACGCACCAAGAGCCCTCCGAGAGCACTTCCAAGAGGGCCCCAAGAGGCGAGCTTCCCTGATTTTCCTCGAGTGCGTCACGCGTGTCGGCGTTCTCGCCTCTGCGGCTTCCCGACGCTCCCAGACGGACCAGGACACGCCCCGAGGAACAGCGGACCGCGGGGGAGACAGTGCCGAGGCCTCCCGTGCGGCGCGCTGGAGGGGGGTGCCAAAATCGGGTCGGGCGAAAGGGGGGGATAGCAAAGGGGGGGTTTGAGAATCAGCTCACGTAGCTGATTTTCCAGGCGCCGGGAGGCGCCCATGTACCGAGGAATGGGCCCCTCGGTGGGGCCAAAACCAGCTGCATGCAGCAGATTTCGTAACCCCCCCTTTCCCAATCCCCCCCTTTCGCCCGGCCCGACAAAAGGGAGGCCGAACCGACTCCTGCTGGCCGCCGGCCCCGTCCGGAGGAACGAGACCCAACGCTCCGGAGAGCGGAGCCCTCGAGGAAGGAGCACACATCCTCTGGGCGTTGCCATCGAGGGGCAGAACGTCTTCGAGGGGAGTGGCCCCCCTCCCCAAAACAAAAACGCCCGAGTCGACACATGGAAGAACACACACAGCAAACAAAAACAGACGCCCGAATAGAAACATGATCGCCTGAATCTCGCCTGGAAAGCCGCATCGAGAAGTCCTCTTTAGGATAGCTCCGGAAGGACCGCTCTGGCATCTGACAGGAGAGCGCTCTGACAAAACCGCCACGGCAGAGACTGCTCTGACAGAGAGCGCTCCAGCAGAAGACCGCTGCGCTCCAACAGAAACCCCTGCGGCAGAGACACCCCTGGCAGAGGACAGCTCGGGTAGAGGCCCGCTCCAGCAAAACCCGCTCTGCCAGAGGCTCAGCCTGGCAGACGACCGCTCTTATCTCTAATCCTCCGCTGGCTTACTTGGTTGAAACCCCGCCCACCGCTGGAACATGCCGCCAGCCCGACCCGACAGTTATGGACCGCCCGCCCGGCCCGCTTCGTTAGGGTCCGCCCGCCCGACCCGCCCCGTAGGGGGTCGACCAGACCCGCCCAAGTCAGACGAAGCCAGGACGAGGATACATTTGAGCGAGGATAAATAGAGGATCTCTGACATCCTACGGTTCTGGGAAGTGTCTCGGGCGTCGCGGCCTTCTCATAGCGTTCCGGAAAACTCTGAGAGCGTTCCGGAACGATCCCCAGACATGCGACATCCTAATTTTTCAATACGGGGCCCCTGGAAGTCCCCGACCCTTTGCCCGGGACCCGCTTTTCATCCTGAGTCCTCTTTTGACGGTCCCGAGGCCTGGCGAGGGCCCCCCGAGGCCGAAATTTGCCAAAAACCTCCCGTCCTGATTTTTGTTACGACGCGATCATATTCGGGTCTGGAACGGATTTATCCTCGTCCCAGCCCCGCCCGATCAAGAGGGTCTGCCCGGTGAGGCCTCTGGTTGCGCACAGCCAACCCGCCTGGTGGTAGTTCTGGCTGGCCTGACCAGGCCCCCCGATACAGGGAGCCCACA